GTATCCACAAGACGTGGGGAACTCTGTGCCATCACTTTCCAAAGAGGAAATTTACTCGTTAATCCGATCCGTACGCTTTGCATGAGAAATACAGAAAGTTTCAAAGAGATCTTCGTACTAGAAGTATTCTCAAATGTGAAGAATACAACCCCGGGGGTACAAAATGACCCCAGGGCGTACGGATAGGGTTAAGTATCATAATATTATTACGCAAGAACAGTTTAAGCAGCAGCTTGTCATTGTTAACATTCAACACTCTCTTTGATGACAACATTTAGATAAACTAATACATGTACTACTAATAATAAATAGCATTTGTATAGCGCATGTCCTTACTCGAAAGCAAGCTCTATGCGCTTTACACTTTATTATTACCCCAGCAGATCATAGAACACTCAGAAACATTCTTAGCTTCTCGGGAAGCAAACAGTGCAAGCAGCTGGTTAAGCGCTAAAACTCTAACAAACTGACAAGATCTTTCACTAGGAGGCGGGCTGCTTCGACTCTGCCTTTTAAAAGCCTATCTAGCTTGTTTGAGGTACTTCCCAGTTAAACCCAGTGAAGATAATAATAGTTGTAAAGCGCATAGAGCATGCTCTTGAGCGTGTATATGCGCTATATAAATGCAATTATTAATATTAATATTAAGATGTTTAACTCGCTGTGGGACTAGAACTTGATGTTGTATTTTGTATCTTTTGCGTGTAAGCCGGAAACCCTAACATTCCATCCCATGCTGCAGTACAAAGCGCTTCTTTCACTCCAGTTCAACTTGTTCCTTGAATTTTGTGATGAAAGACAACCAGCAATCGGAGTGGTGTAGGATAAGCTACTCAGCCTATTATACAGCACGGAGGTTCCGTCTTCAATCATCATTTCCAGAATCAGGCTGCAGGCTTTTTCGGGGTTGGGGGTTCAATTCGAGTCCCCAACATATGTTAAAACGTAGAAGTTGCTTCGTAAATAAATAACCTATCAAACGACGCTACCATAAATGCATCTAACAAACGAAAAGATGAAATTCCTACTTCAATGTTCATGATTCACGGAAAGATGAAATTCCAACCTCAGTGTTCATGAACCAACTGGCTGCCTATTAGTGCTATTGGACAATGGGGACTGGGAATAAGCTAAAGATCCCCCCCCCGTACTCTTGGATTTGTCACGGTGGTGATGAATTTTGGAAATACACTTTGGAAATGTACTATCTTGTAGCCTACGGACTCCATTTTTCTGGTCATGACGTAATCAACCTTGGAAGTAGAGAACTCAGGTCATATATTTGGGAGTTTGTATAAGATGGAACTCAAATTCTACGCTCCCGTAGCGCGCTTAACGCACTAATTCGGGGTCATAGATACGATTTTGCAACAGCCTTGACATTATTGTACTGTGACGTAAACTCCCGAAAGTCTGGTATTGGAGGTATACAAGAGAGACGTTTTCACGATAAGAATGTCGCAACCCTGCCTTTTGCTGTGCTCCTGATCTTGATAACATTTATCATGGTCGCTGCTCACTTGAAGAGTTGTTTGTAACATTTTGTACAATAGCAACAAGCGTCATATTGATGTCAAAAAATGTTTGTGTCTGGTGTGTGTGTGTGTGAGTGTGTGTGTGTGTGATTGTGTGTGTGCGTGTGTGTGTGTTTGTGTGTGTGTGTGTGTGTGCGCGTGCGCGTGCGCGCGCGTGCGTATGTGTGTTAAGTGTGTGTATGTGT